TCTTTAAGTTGTAATTAAATTTACCAGTTCTCGGGTAGTAGATATCTATATAGACTTGGTAAAAGTTTAATTAAGCTCGTTAAAGTCGTGTTTTCATATGCACTAGAAAAAAACAGAAGAAATTTGCGTCTTAATATTTAAAAAAAAACAAAAGCAGGATAAATTTCTATCTTAAAAAATAAAAAAAAAAAAGAAAAAAAGGGAAATAGAAAAAAAAAAAATTTGTGTCGTTGTTCCTCTGCATGCATGCAGGCCAAATTTCGTTTTCGAGTTAGTTTAATTTCAATTAGCAAAGAATTAGTCTAACCTTAGACAAGAACTAGTCGATTCTACATGCAGAGAAACCTCCAGTATTTTTTTTTTTCTTTTTTTTTTTTGAGTAATTCAAGTCATTACAAGGGAAAACCTCCAGTATTTTTACTCCAACTATAAGTTAACATTTTTTTATAGCCTTGTAAAAGCTACACTCAATAGACATACATACCTCGGGTCGATTAGGGGCGGATCTAGACAGGACCGATTCTGACTACAGGCAAGAGACAGCGGCGTAACTAAGGCACCCCAAGACTCAAGAGGGGGGCAGCAGCCCCTCAATAATTTTTTTTTTGATTTTTTTATTTTTATTTCTATATGTTAGTCTATTTGCCCCTCATAAAAAAATAAAAATACCCACTTATAATGTATAATTTTTAAATTTAAGGAGTTTCAACAATGATATATGCTTGAATTACATTAACTTATAAACCTCAGAAATGTTTTTAATATTACATATATTTACTTGTTCAATAATATTTATATGGTTATTTTCAAAAGAACTTCGGTCTGCCACGAACCCCAGAAATTTTTTATTTACTTTAATTTCGTCAATTTTTAGTTATATTTGCTCCAAAATTCTTAACTGCTACCAAAAAATTAGTGTCCGGCCATGCTCGTTAGAATGAATCCATTTTTACAAATTCTTAAAATTCGCTTAGAGCCTCCAATTTCTCAGAAATGACCATGAATCTAGACACTTTTGTTGGAAGGGGGGAACTTGTTTAAAATAGTACATTGAAAAGTAGGTTAGGTGTTCCAGGACAACGCCCTCCGAATTTATTTTAGAGTTATTCACACCAAAAAAAAAGGCTAAAATGAATATAATTCTTAATTAAAAAGTATAAATTTCAATAGTAATATTTTATATTGTATTAACAAATAGAAAAAAAATATATCTCAATTTGGGCGGCTGCCTGCCTCGGGTAGCATCATAAATTAAATTTATTTACAACTAGCATTTTTCCCCGTGTGATGCACGGGATATATTTAAATAATGGAAAAGAATAATCAATTTAATACATAATAAGAAAATATGGTACACTAATATAGTAAAATTTAATAATGTAGTATTATTCATATTTTATATAACTTTAGTATTGGGTTAGTTTTAATTTTGATAATTCTTAAAAATTATAGTTATTGATGAAAAATAGGAGATTAATAATTGTTGAAAATTATAGTTAAAAAATTAGTACATAAAAAATATTAAAAATAAATAATTACATAAGTAGCAATAAGGTAGGATTCTTCACGGGTTAGTTTTAATTTTGATAATTGTTAAAAATTATAGTTAGAAATTAGTAGATAAAAAATATTAAAAATAAATAATTACAGAAATATCATTAGGGTTTTTTAGGTTATCCAGCATTTCTTTCTTTTATATATAAAATTACACAAAAATATATATTTAACATAAAATAGAACCATATTGCTACATCAAAAATCAAACTACTCTTAATCAACTGACCAATTCTTTAACTTTGGCCTACATAAGCAATTACCAAACCATATGAATCATGAATTAGAAAATTTGTACTGCAAGACTAATTCAACGTCATTTCGAAAAAATTTTCCTTATATAAACCAAATTATTAGTTCTCATAAATCAATCCAGAAACAAAAAAAAACAGAAACTTCAGGTTTATTTAGTAAGAAGATATTAAATTTGAATTTGCAGTATTTGATCGTTGCTTTTAGAAATTATAGTCATGGGGAGCTACATGGAATCCCGTCGTTGGTTCATGTTAGCTCTCTTTGT